GATCGCTGCCTGTTGAAGAGCAGCCCAAGCAGATTATTGTGACCAGGAAGGGCATGTTGGATCCTCTTGAGGTTAGAAATGCCCATTTAAACTGTTAAAGGCAAAGTAGCTGTGTTATAGCACTGGAAAGGTATTTAAAATGTTAACTTTTAGGTTAACAGCTGTCTGTTTTCCTCAGGTGCACTTGCTGGACTTCCCCAACATTGTAATCAAGGGCTCTGAGCTCCAGCTGCCCTTCCAGGCCTGTCTGAAAGTGGAGAAGTTTGGAGACCTCATTCTGAAGGCCACAGAGCCTCAGATGGTCTTGTTCAATCTGTATGACGACTGGCTGAAGACCATCTCCTCTTACACTGTAAATCTAGCTTTTATCCTATAGTTTTGACCTGCTGAAATTAGGGATGTAACGGTATGAAAATTTCATATCACGATTATAGTGACCAAAGTTGTCATGATTATCAATATTATCACGGTTTTGTTAAATTTAGATGAAAATGTTCAAAAAGAACTGATTCACACTGAAAACATTTCAATAAGTTTTATATTTGAAAATCAACAAACAACAAATACAATTAGCAGCTATATGCACTTTTTTAGCATAAACATTAAATTAACATTAACATGAAGCCCTAATAATAATAATAATAATAATAATAATAATAATAATAATAATAATAAACAACAACATTGCATGCTGCTTCTGCGTCAGACTGATGCTGGCTGGACAGGATTTACTGCGAGTTTTCAAAAGCGCGATAATCAAATACGGTTTTGATGATAATTAAATTTTAAACGATAATACTAACCGTCAGGGCATTTTATCGTGATTTATCATGAAACCGGTAATCGTTCCATCCCTAGCTGAAATTATTAGTAGCTTCTTACACTGGTCATTACTACGATGCCTAAAGCTAGTATGTTTTTGTTGCCTAGGCATTCTCTCGTTTGATCTTAATCCTGAGAGCACTTCACGTCAACAACGATCGTGCTAAAGTTATCCTGAAGCCCGATAAAACCACAGTCACTGAGCCTCACCACATCTGGCCCACACTGACTGATGAAGAGTGGATCAAAGTGGAGGTGCAACTCAAAGATCTCATCCTGGCTGACTATGGCAAGAAGAACAAGTGAGTACTAGATAATAAATGCTGACTTGTGAGTGCATATGGAAAATGCGTATAGATGTGAAATGTTGCCCTCTTTTCAGATGTTAATTTTCTCCACAGTGTGAATGTGGCATCTTTGACCCAGTCTGAAATCAGGGACATCATCCTGGGTATGGAGATCTCCGCTCCATCCCAGCAGAGACAGCAAATCGCTGAGATCGAGAAGCAGACCAAGGAGCAGTCTCAGCTAACAGCCACACAAACTCGCACTGTCAACAAACACGGAGATGAGATTATCACCTCCACCACCAGCAACTACGAGACACAGACCTTCTCTTCCAAAACTGAATGGAGAGTTAGGTGTGGAAAGTTTTCCCTGTCACTCATCGTCTTTATAGTTGTTAAAACACAGCTAGACTTTGTTTTTAAACACTCTTCCTGATCTCACAGGGCGATCTCTGCTGCCAACTTGCACTTACGTACTAACCACATCTATGTGTCATCGGATGACATTAAAGAAACTGGCTACACTTACATCCTGCCCAAGAACGTTTTGAAAAAGTTCATCTGCATCTCGGATCTGCGTGCTCAGGTTGGAATAACTGGCTTCTTAACATGTTTTCTCTTGTGAATCCTCTTCATTAGTAGAATTCTAAACCTGAATTTTGCTTGCATCTATATTTTTTTCCCTGTAGATTGCAGGTTATCTGTATGGAACCAGCCCTCCAGATAACCCTCAGGTAAAGGAAATCCGCTGCATCGTGATGGTGCCACAGTGGGGTACGCATCAGACCGTTCACCTGCCCAACCAGCTACCACAACACGAGTACTTGAAGGTAAGCAGTTTACACACATGCCTATGTCTGTAGTTTGGTGTATTCAGCAGTCTACGTCTTCCCAGTTGTATCAATCCAATTGAATGCCTCTTGAATTTCATAGGAAATGGAGCCTCTTGGATGGATCCATACACAGCCCAATGAATCGCCCCAGCTCTCTCCTCAAGATGTAACCACCCATGCAAAGGTCATGGCTGACAACCCATCCTGGGATGGCGAGAAGACTATCATTATTACTTGCAGGTACAGTTTTAGCACACTAATGCACTGTGGCTGCGTTCTTAACATCCCTGAGTGTAATGATTGGCCAGTGTCATGTATTCAGTGTTGCATTTGTGGTTTTTTCTTATCTAGTTTCACCCCTGGTTCCTGCACGCTGACGGCCTACAAGCTGACTCCCAGTGGATATGAGTGGGGTCGACAAAACACAGATAAGGGAAATAACCCCAAAGGTTACTTGCCCTCTCACTACGAAAGAGTCCAAATGCTTTTGTCTGACCGTTTCCTTGGCTTCTTCATGGTGCCTGGCCAAGTCTCCTGGAACTACAACTTCATGGGTTAGCATGGCCTTTAAATAATGATACGTTTTGAAGTGATTTTTCACATTTTGTAAATTGCAGATACAACATTGTGCTTTTCTAATCTCTCCCATTTCATTCTAGGTGTTCGCCATGATCCCAACATGAAATATGACCTACAGTTGGCCAACCCGAAAGAGTTCTACCATGAAGTTCACAGGCCATCTCACTTCCTCAACTTTGCTTCTCTGCAGGAGGGTGAAATCTACAATGCTGATCGTGAAGATATGTATGCATAATAGTACAAACCATGACTATATACAGTAAATACACCCAACAGGCTAAAGCAATGTTTTTGTAATGTTTTGTCACCAAGACTCACTCTGTACTGTTTGCAGTAATGTAAATGCTTAGAAACTCAAAGCATGTCATCCGTTTATTGCTTTATCATAATTCCCTGGCATCGAGTTGATTATGCACATTGCTGAAAGCACATTTTGTGCTTTCTTTTTGAATGAATTCTCATCTAAAAATATCTGTACCCTTTTTCGTAATTGTTTGTAGTACATTGTGTTTTTTATTATCTAGAATAATTTGTCTGTATCCTGTAGCTTGTTGTGCATCTGTTATGTACACTGTAGTTTGGGTTTAAATAAAGATTGCCAATTTTATAAGAATTTGAGCTTGATCTCATTGTCATTTATGTTGGTTTCATGGATTAAATCATTAGTGTGTCCACTGAAGGAACATTAGCTGTTCTATCTAAAGAGCAAGGACACTGTATGCCTTCAGAGCAAACCAATCTGCATGCATATGTTACAGTCCACTGAGCAGCTCAGCCCTGAACATATATGGCAAGTTGTTTTCACATTTATTCCTAAAAGTGTCTAATTGGATAAATTCATTAAAATGGCAGTACATTGTGACTAATGCTTAATGATGCACAAAAACTGTCAGCAAAAACAACGGGTTCTGGTCACGGTACTGTCATGATTGCTCGTTAAAGTCTGACACAGAAAAGAAATGTTGAATAAAGTGTTTTTTGTTTTTTTTTGGTGCACAAAAAGTATTCTCATAGCTTTATGAAATTAAGGCGTAACCAGTGATGTCACATGGGCTGTTTTAATGATGTTCTTGCCACCTTTCTGGGCCTTGAATGCATGCGGTAGTTGCATTGCTGTCTATGCAGATTCAGAAAGCTCTGGGATTGCATCAAAAATATCTTAATTTGTATTCCAAAAATGAACGAAAGTCTTATGGTTTTGGAACGACATGAGGGTAATAAATGATAAAAAAATATATATTTTTGAGTGAACTATTCCTTTTATGTGCTTTGAGATCCATAAATGCAGTGCCACTGACGACAGAAACGAACAAAGTACATTATCTTTATTGCCATTATCTAGCAGCTCTGTTTCTGTTGGATTATCTGAATGGAGTTTCGCTTCCGATTCCTATGACCTTGTAAACATGCACAGAAGAGCAATAATGGCTGCCGTGATTTCACAGTTAAATTTCTTAAATATTTTTCCAGTCATTTCCTAGTATCCATTTCAGGATTCATAGAAGCAGATCAGTAGACATTAGCCATGTAGACAGCAGTGTTGGGCAGTAACGAATTACTTAGTAACGCGGTACTGTAATTTGATTACTTTTTTAGTAACGGAGTAATTTAACGCATTATAATTTTCAAAATAGTAATTAGAGTATAACATTATGCATCTATTACACAAAAGCAACATGAACTAATATAAAATATAAACTTTAACAGGTGCAAGCGTAAGCAGACTTTCTATTTAGGCTATAACACGTGTTTGCAGCATTGAGCAATGCAGTGCTGATGCAGCGCTCTTTTTGGCATTTTGCCATGCCAAACCATGCACGCAGCAGCCGCTTGCTTTAGTTCAAAATAACAGTGTTCTGTGAATGTTGATGCTTAAATAACAAATATTTGTGTGTATGCTGGGATTTCATAAATTTAATGGAGAAAAAAGTAACGTAACTAGTAATGTAACTAATTACTTTTGAAATAAAGTAATCAGAACAGTAACGTGATTACTTTTAAAAGGAGTAATCAGTAATTTGATTAAATTTTCAGAGTAACTTGCCCAACACTGGTAGACAGTAGCCTGTGTCCAAATTCTTGCAAGTTAACTTTTTATTTGTTTTTTAGTATCTCACTACTAGTTAAGATTTTTATTTTTACTATGAAAGTAGTACTGATTGATTATTAGTTGTCTTTATTATTCATTACATATGACATTAGAAAAATCACTTGTACCTAAAGTAAAATAAGAAATTTCACTGGTAATAATGAGGATATAGTGCCACAGACAGATACTAGTTGTTATTGGAACTACTAGTATTTAATGAGTAGTTACATGTAAAACTGAAACAGACAAAAAAATTGTAGTAATTTAAAAATAAGTACTAGTAACAGATGCTTGTTAGTTTGAATGTTAAGCCAGCTTGCCATATGTGCTAGATATTAAAGCTCTCGGGTTGCATTGGTCAGAAAAGGAGGGAACAACCATGGTAAAAAAGCACTGTGGGCTGTCATATAGATGTATCTCTGTTCAGCTACTTTTTATAAAAAGAATACTATGTATGCAAACATGCACGGCCATACTTGATCCAAATGTTAGTGACGTGGGCGTACATCTTCAGATTATGACATGCAACTCTTTACGCCGCATAGACACGTCGGTTTTTATAGTTTATTCGTGTTTATTGGAGCGCATCAACAAAGGATGTAGTTACAAAACAAACTGAAGCGAAATGCATGCGTTTAAAAGTGAAACAAAAAAAGATCTGCGTTTGTTCTGAACGTAAATTTAGATTTGACTGTCAAGAGGAGTTTCGATTGTCGCTGTTCAAATTCAAGTTCATCTCAAGTCAAGTGCATTATGGAGAAATGCGTGATAGCCGTCGAGGAAAACCAAAACGATATCGTCAAGACACATTCGTGTTTCGAGAGGACGTTTTCATCCATGACAGTGGACGATGTGTATGATATCGCTAAAGCGGTGGGGGCAGAAGTGGAGAAGCTCATCGACAACCATGGAAAGTCGAGTGTGGAGGGTTTGGTGTCTCACATAGTCAAAGTTTTGGAGCTCCTGGAGAGTTTCGCGGCAAGAAACCAAGATCATAAATGTAAGGAAGAGGAACTATTGAAGGCGTTTGAGACGTTACAGATACAGCAGCAGAAGAAACGACATGTGAAGGAGTGTGATGAGTCCAGCAACAGTAATGTTACAGAGAGTGGGGTAAGAACATGGTCGACATGTCAACACTGTTACTGTAGCAAGCTTTTTAAACTGCGTTTCAGATGTCTTGATAATTATGTTATATAACAAATGTGTTTTTAATGTCATGGACTGAGCTGCTGTGTGGACAGAGTTGCACTATAGGATAACGCCTTTAATCCAGATGGATTTTTGATTCGAATCGTGACACGTTGATCGATTCTAGGAAATGCCAATAGAGAGCACTTCCGGTCTCAATAAATGTCATTTTGGAGAACATCATGTACTATCCATTAGTGGTGGGGATTTTGAGCTTGATTTCTATGACTATGACCCCTTAAGCAGGTTAAATAATTACACCAGTGGATGGCAACAAGTTACATCTTTTGTGTTATGAACGAGTCATTGAATCATTTAGTCCGATTAACCGAGTCGTAAAAAACACTTTAACAAGCGTTAAATTAGTCACATTTTCGTGTCTACAAATCTACACCAAGCTATATAATGAACACAATAATAACCTAAATGAATTATTAATTTCAAAATCATTATTTGTTCATTTCATTTACTAACATGTCCAAGTCAAACATCTTCTAAAGTAATACGATGCCTGGTTTTCTGTCCTGCATAGTTACATGAATACATGAATGATTTACAAGCCACTGTGTTCTCCAGTGACCTGTTAAATTGGTTAGGCTTTTGAAACTAAGGTCAGGGTGACACCTGGTAAGTCTTACTTAATGTGTTTGTGGTTTGAAAGGATTTTTGCAAAGATTCTGTTTTGATTTTCCCCCTTAAGGACTGGCATCAGAAGGAGAAGAAACTGAAGGTAAACGTAGAAGTGTTACAGTCCCAGGTGCAACAGCTCAAGAAAGAGAATCAGGAGCTTCTGGCCCGCTTACAATGCACACACTCCAAAGAAGGTAAAATTACCTGATGGTTAATTAACACATGAAATTAACACATGAAATTGTTAATTTAATTCAAAATGTAATATCAATGCAATTGCCATCTCCATTTTAGTAATAAACAAAATACACTTTCTAAAAGAAAACCATAATGTTTTCAGTTCAGAAGGTCAAATAGACAAACAAAAACACCTATTGGAATGATTCAAGTTCAATTCAATTCAAGTTTATTTGTATAGCGGTTTTCACGATACAAATCGTTGCAAAGCAACTTTACAGCAAATTAAGTTTCTACAATATGAATGATTAAAAATAATTAAAGTTTAATTAGTGCTGTCAAATGATTAATCGCATCCAAAATAAAAGTTTTTGTTTACAAAATATGTCTGTGTACTTTATATATTTATTATGCATGTATAAATACACACGCGTACAGTATATATTTTGAAAATATTTACATGTATATACATTTATATATTCATATTATTATATTTTATATCATATATAAATATATTTAATATATAAACATAACATATTTTTCTTAAATATATACATGCACGTGTTTGTATTTATATATACATAATAAATATACACAGTAAACACACATATATTATGTAAAACAAAAACCTTTATTTTGGATGCGATTAATCGCGATTAATCGTTTGACAGCACTAGTTTTAATGAAATACATACATCTGAGTTTTACAGATTATTGAAAAGGAAAAAATGTAGGGTGGGACTTGGTTCTATGCATCAGTTGTTGATTGTGGTTGTTGAACTCAAAAATGAAGGCAGATGAATGTGAGCTTGCAGCTGGTTTTAAAAAAGGTCTGAAATGTAATATTACTGAATAAAATGGAGAAGTCTGGCATATGTCACCAAAGACAAGTTTGTCGTTTTCACTGAAAGATCCAGTGATTAAAAATTATGAGATCAGCATTTTGTTTAAAATAAAATAAAATAAAAATAAATACATTTGAAAAAATTAATCATTCACAGTAAATTCTATACGCTGCATTTAGGGTAATTTTCTTAAAATACAAATAACACATTTGTCATCACATACATCATCATAAAATGTTTATTTTTTAAGGTAATTTTTATCCAAAGGCCTAAATGGTTTTATTATTATATACATTTTCCTTGTCATTGTTATGTACAGTATAAAGTTTAAAATGTAATTGCTTGTGCTTTAAAAAGTCATGAGATCTCTCAAATAAGATGTTATTTCTATCCATATATCAGAGAAATACAGCTTCTCTGAGCATATGAGCTCTCATTTTCAGAGAGTTATATTTCAGACTGAATAAAGCTGGGTTTATCTCTTTTTTGGGAGGGGTTATTCTCTTTCATTTATTACTGTCAACTCAGTAGTCAGGAATGCTGTTAGATTTGGTCATTCTCATCTTAGAAAATTGTTTGCATAGACTATTTTAAAATATGACTGTAGCGTCTGCATAATTGTAATATTGATTCTGCTACAGTTAATTCGAAGATATAATTAAATATTTATTATTAATCATAACCAGTTATAATTAGTCATAAATATTTCCCTGTTGAGCTGATTTACTACAACGACCATACATTTGCTTCCTTTTTCTAGACCGCACACAGCGTCAGGAACGAGAGGTGATGCTCAAGCTGAAGGAAGTGGTGGATAAGCAACGTGATGAGTTAAGAGCGAAAGGGCAGGAGATTTCCAGCATGTCCAAGGAAGTGGAAGCGGTATGGGTATGATATAACTGTACTGAGTTGCTCAAATGAATCTGAACCATGGGCTATTTTTAAAGAGACATTAAATCTTGCACTTAAAATGAAAGCAAACTTATATGTGCAAAAAAAACAACAACTTAAAAATACATTAGGAAGTGTTTTCTTTCTAAAAATTTTCAAATCTTTTTGATATGTCTTTTACTTGTCCCTTTAGAAATGAAAGTGTAACTGTGGTAGCCAGGTACCCCCCCCCAGTAAAACAGATGGTACTGTTCTCTTCATCGGACCTAGTTTAGCAACTATCAAGGTTTTCTTTGTTGAATTTGGAACACAGTGTCAACAGTGTGTCACTCTGTTCCAAAATGTGGTTGCTCATGAATTGCATCAGAGGCATATAGCTGTGGTTTGGAGCTGAGGTTAATACTTTCCCTTTTTATGTGTTATGTTTGCCTTGCCTTGGTTTTGAAACTGGCCAGACCGGTACCACACAGTAGCCTGCTGCATAGAGAAATTAACAGAATGAACATTAAGTCAAAATTATCTCTTAAGCTAGTTAAATCATTTAAGTTCAACCCATTGCACATTTTCAACATTTATAAGTTATTTTCAGTGAGTTGAAGTGTCTGTTATTTAACACGTTTCTTCAGCTCCAGGAGCAGCAGGAGCGACTAATGAAGATAAACGCAGAGCTCAGACACAAGCAGAACATCATACAGACTCAGCTGAAGAGTGCAGTGGAGAGGAGGGCCGACCTGGAGGCCGACCTGTGCGAGAAACAGAAAGAGATAGAGCGCCTGAACTCACAATTAGAAAGAGCCAGCGTACATACTGCTGCTGAAACGGTTAGTCACATTAATATTACGTTTATGCTTACTAACCCTAGCTGTCCCATATTGGTTTACGTGTATTTCCTAAAGGCATAATCAGACAGAAGCTTGTATGTTCCTCTTGCCCTAGCACAGGGCCTAATTTCTGCTTTGGTTGGTTGGATGAAGCATATATAGGTCACATTTGCCTTCACTAGAGTGGAAAGGACATGTTTGTGCACAACTCCCCTTCAGCATACAAACATTTTGGGATGCTTGATTAAATTCCAACATTAAAACCTTGTCAGAATATTTTTCACTTTAGTTTTATCTTGATTAACAGAGATAAATATAATGATCAGAAACAAGCTTTTAGTAATTAGCAAATAATGCAAAATATTCAGTAATTAAGTAGTATTATTTCATATTTAAATATTGTATTAAATCACTTTTTATATTAATATTAAACGTTTTGTTTTGTTTATTATTAAAACATTATTATTTTAACATTTATCTTAATTTAAATTTAATTCTAATTTAAGTGCATTCATTTTTTAACAGAGATTATTTAAATTCTAAAAATAACTTAAAATATTTAAGCAGTGTATCACTTAAATTATTAAGTAATACACTGAACTAGACCTGTAGTATTATTTAGAAAGGAACTGTTTTTTTTATTTTATATTTAAATATTACATCAAATTACATCAAAATATTACATTTTTATATTAATATATTAAACTTCTTTTTTTATTTATTTATTATTAAAACAGTATTATTTTAACATTTATCTTAATTTAAATTTAATTCTAATTTAAGTTTAATTAATTTAGCATTCTAACCTTTTCTGTCAGCACATTTGGACACACCTCAATCTGGACACACATTTCTTTGTTTCATTAGGGAAATCCTGAATGATGAGAGATGCCCAGGGTTCTTACTGGATGCCGTGCGCTCTGCCATAAAGAAGCAGAGGACCGTCATAAAGTCTAAAATGCTTGGCATACCCGTTAGTGAATGTAGAACGTGAGTGCAAGCCACAAACATACTGCTAATTTACAGCCCATGTGAATAATGCTGTGTTTAACAGTTTCACTGTCATACAGAGATGAGACAGATGGTCCTTTGTTTGAGAGGAGTGGGAATGAAGATAATGACACTAACAGCACTGACAACAGACCCCAGGACTCACGCATCAGAAAACTGTGAGTTCATTCACACTTAAACACTACAGAGCTATAGCAAGAACTTAAAAAGCACAACAATCTACTTAACCTACTTCACTGAAAACTGGTTTCAGCAAGATTGGGCTATAGGATAAGCCACCAGTCTTAGGTACGATAAAAACATTATGAGTGTGAAAGATTTAGTTGTTCTTGTAGTTTAAGATGTAGTTTTTGATCAACAGCAGAAATTAATCTTAGTGCTAATGCAGTTAAAATATGTGACCCTGGACCAAACCAGCCATAAGGGTCAGTTTTTTTTAATTGAGACTTATACATGAATAAATAAGCTTTCCATTGATGTATGGTTTGTTAGGATAGGAAAAGTTTTGACTCATATCATTCCACCTTTGCCTCTTTCAGAGCAGTTCAGCCATAGACCTCACAGATAAGATGATCATTGACTTGAAGGATCCAAATCGACCGCGTTTTACCAAGCAGGAAGTACGAGACTTGCTTTTTGAGAAGAATGAGTTGAAGGCCAATCTCTTTCTGGTCAAAGAGGAGCTTGCATATTACCAAAGGTGAGACAGTTGTGTTTGTGACGCATTCTAACCTTTTCTGTCAGCACATTTGGACACACCTCAATCTGGACACACATTTCTTTGTTTCATTAGGGAAATCCTGAATGATGAGAGATGCCCAGGGTTCTTACTGGATGCCGTGCGCTCTGCCATAAAGAAGCAGAGGACCGTTATAAAGTCTAAAATGCTTGGCATACCCGTTAGCGAATGTAGAACGTGAGTATGTGCCACAAAAGTACTGGTAATATACAGCCCATGTAAATAATGTTGTGTTTAACCGTGTTCACTGTCATACAGAGATGAGACAGATGGTCCTTTGTTGGCATAAAAGAAAAATCGATAATTTTGACCCAAATAATACAATGTTTTTTTGGCTTTTGCTAAAAATATACCCCAGCGACTTAAGACTGGTTTTGTGGTCCAGGGTCACAAATGTTGTATAAAAGATGTTGCTGCTAGTGGTGCAAAAATTACACTCCTTTAAGAAGCAAATCTACCTGATTTTATCCTTAAAAATTACTTTCAGTTGTTTAATTTAATGTTGACTCATTCTGAATAATGATTCCATATTAAAGAATATTCAGGAATGAATATAATTTCGTTACCAAAAATAATTGAGATGTTTTTTTACATTTACATTTTTTTGGTTTACTTTTTTTTTTTACCGCTTTTATAGATGAACAGACAGACATTTTTTAAATGCACATTTCTTGTTTACATTTCTTAGCACATATTTAGGTTAACCGACAGACATTTTTGTTTTACATTTAAATTTTTTGTAAACAATTCAGGTTTACATTTACATTTGGGTTTCCTGAAAGACATTGACATTTTTTGTTTACATTTTTGTTACATAACAGACATTTTTGCAGTGAAGCTTGTGGGGCAGGTTGGATTGCATAGTCTTCTTAAACTTTCCCTTAAAATGTATGTTGGTAAAAAGACTGAGACTTCAAGTATTAAAACTATTGATTTCCGTTTGAGAGCCTCATGTATTCCACATTTTTTAAAATAAGGCTTTTATAGGGCATCCACTCTCTTCTCTGTGTATAGTGTGTAGTAATTTGTGTTGTATATTTTGGCAGCATTCATACTATATGTTCTTGGTGAAACCCTAAGCTGATTTTAAAGATCTCTTGATCACATTTCGCTCTTTGGCTTCGTAACCTCAGTAACTGAGCATGCAGACTAGCTACTACAGTACAAAAGAAATCCCCCTCTGTCATTCTTCTATAAGTGATTGAGAGCTCTCTTATCTCCTCTGATTCAAACCTTTAGATTTGGTTTCCTGACGCCGTCCAGTCTTACTAGGAGCTCTGGTTCTCAGCCTTCCGGCCTTCCAACATCCAGCTCCACATGGGAAATCCTTGATCCAGACGAGCAAGGAGGCGAGGAGGAGACACAGACCCTCAGCTCCTCTTGAGAACCACCGCAACTGCCACTCATCTTCACCTGGGTTGGAAGAGAGAAGTTCAAAATATGTTCTTTATTTGATTTAGGTTTCAAACCGGAGAACGGACTATTCTTGTATTTGGTTATACAAACATAGTATTAATAGTTGTTGCCTAAGCTGACCTTTTTCTCAATATAAAATCATTCAGCACTTGGCTTTTGTTAATTAGCTGATAGCTAGATTTGTCTGATGGTCACTCAGTGTCACAGATGACCTGAAGATGAGATCAGATTGTGTCAGTCATATACATATTGTTATTGTTTGTTGTTTACCATTAAAAAATGTAGGGTCAGTAAGAATTTTTAATGTTTTTGAAAAAAAAAATTTTATTCACTAAGGCTGTATTTGGTAAAAAAGCTGTAATTTTACAATAACTGTTTTTAATTTAAATATATATTTTTAAATATGATTTTTACCCTGTAAAGCTGACTTTTACTCCAGTCTTCAGTGTCACATGGTCCTTCAGAAATCTTTCTACCACACTGATATGGTGCTTAAGAAACATTTCTTATTATTACAGTTGAAAACGCTTATGCTGCTTTTTTTGTGGAAACATTTTTTCAGGATTCTTTGATGAATAGACATTTCAAAAGATACTGCAGCTTTTGATCAATTTAATGCGTACTTGCTAAATAAAAGTAATCATTTCTTAGAAAAAGAGAAAGTCTTACTGACCCCAAACTTTTGAACAGTTGGGTACAGTATATACAGTTAAAGACTAACTGTTGAATGTTTTTTTCACTTTCTCCTATCCGAGTTCAATATGCAAAGCCAACTGTTAGTAATACATTTTGTTGATTTTCCAAAGAGTATAAACAAAGGTTTTGTGGCACTTTCAAAACATTGCTGTTTCAGGGCCCAACTTATGACTTAAGCAATGGCAAGCTTTGGGGCAAGGCTACCTGTAATAAGCTGTTTATTGGGAAATTGACTTGGAAGGGATGGGTGGAAGGGTTTGAAACAATCATTATTGTCATTTCACTTGGTGGTGCAAATGACCGCAGACTGGTGCACTTAAAAACATGGGAAAAATCTGCAGTGTTTTGGTAATCATAATACACCTGGCATTATATTATAGATATCTGGATGGAAGCTACAAAGAATTATAGCAGCTATTTTTATAGAGAGTATATTTAATATGGATTTTAACCAAAGATACTGACATTGTATTGCCATGACTGTCACACTGACCCTTTATGTCACTAGGGGGCATTAGAGTATTTTGTATTCATGTTCTTCCAGTATACTTTCTTATAAAACATTAGCTGTCCTTAAAAAGTGTCCATTTTGTATCTATTTTAAGGATATTTAGCATGTTTTTAATATAAATATTTGAATATTGGCAGATAACATATGATATTAATGTCCTGTCAGTTCTGTGATGTCCATGATTATGTCAACCTGATGTAAAAAAAAAAGCATGTAAACATGTAAGAAAAAAGATGCAAATTTATTGTCTGAAAATTTTGTCATCTTTTATTCACTCTCGTGTTGTTCCAACTTTGTATGACTTTCTTTTGCAGAACACAAAATAATATATTTTGAAGAATGTTGGGGTGAGTAAATGATGACAGAATGTTTTATTTTTATTTTTGGTGAACTACCTTTTTAATGAGTTGACACTTTGCCCTCTTCAGCCATTCAACTGATCAGACGTGTGTGTCACATAGCTTTTTTGTTGAAAAAAGAGGCAAAAACGTATGGACATGATTCAATACTTTGTATGAGTCTTAAGGTGTTCCCTGATTGAGAGGAAGTCTGTGTTTCCTCCAAAGGAAATTAGAGATAATGGGTGCCCATATGTTTCAAAGGCTTGTAGCTGAATTCCATATTCCTTAGCTGTCTGTGACTCATCTGTTTATCTTTGGACGTTTGGAAATAAAAGTGAATGAGTCCCATATTGATTTTTTACTAGAGTATTTTATTTTTGTAAAAATGTTTGTTACTGGAAAGTGCTATAAGGCTAAATAAAATCCAGAGGTGGTGTTGTGACATTTGTGCGTGTGTGATTTTTAAAAATATTTGTATTCTAATGTATAAAAGTAATTGGTAAGGATGAGAAAATGTTGGCAGACACATTGACCATTAAAAATACCCAACTCCTCCCACAAAATTCTGAGCCTTGATTTTGTCTTTAAACAACCAGTGGCGTATTGAATTAGAGGAAGCTGGCTTTTCTTCCTCAGGAAACTTGCAGAGGAAACAAAAGGATTTGGAGAGCTCATTTTGCTATAGAGACTGGACTGGATCTTGTCTGTTCTAGAAGTACAGAACTAACCTGTACTGGTGCTGTGGTAGGAGAGGGGGTCCGGTTTTGGTCGGTCCGGAGGGGGATGGACACCTTTCTGACCTCATTTGGACTGATGCTCACGTGTGTCCAGTGCTCAGCTCAGAGACTCTCTCCGACCGGGAAAAACGTCTGCCTCAGTGTCGGGTACTGAAGTATCTTTGTCTCAGATGTTTCTATATAAATTCTTAAGGAAAAATAAAAGTAAATGTGTCACTGTTTTCATACAGTTAATAGTTTTAAATGAATGTGGATCACATAGCCAAGATAATTTTAAAGTCTTAAAGGAATTTGACATTAAATGTTTTGAGGTCATCTTGAGATACTGTTGAGATATCTTTTGAAACTCTAGGGTATTTCTGTCAGGACAAAAAAAAAAGTGTCAAGTAGGAGACTGAGTTACTAAATTGTTTTCCACTGAATCTCATTGCCGTCAAGGAGAAACAATTGATATTTAAGAGATGTCATTTGCAATTTGTCTTTTCTATGCGGTTTCTTAAGTTGTAAAATGTTGTCTTTTTGATCTATAAACGTTTTATTTATGTCAACACAGATTCAATACATTCTATACTGTCTGCTATATTTTCTCAATAGGGATTCTTCTCCCATATGTTGTTCTGGATGGGGCCAGAATGGTGACGAATGCACTGTCTGTGAGTATTGATGCCATCTGTTGATGTACTTCAATAAAAAATGACACGTTGTTTTATTGATGACACAAAAGGCTTGCTTCCTGTGGGCCTGTAGATGTCAGCAGTTTTAAGCTGGGGTTTCAGTTATGTGTAAAGTATCTTTTTGTTTTCTCAGCCCTCTGTGAGGGAGAAAGGGCCTGTCTGCAGGATGAAGTGTGTGTTTATCCTGGACTTTGTCGATGTAAACCTGGATTTTACGGGTACCAGTGCAAAACCCGTGAGTAATATCGTTTGGACTTTGGGTTTCTGGTTTCAGGACTGCCTTTTGCAACTGTACAACTGTGTCTGGCCTTGAGGTTAGACATCCAAACAATAGCCTGATATTGCTTTATATAAACAAGAATTTAATATTGAGTAACTTACATTTTAGACACAATTATGCCAGTTACTTTGTCAGTTTTTCCTCAAACGAACAAAATAGTTACAAACGAATCCAAAGCAGAATCCGATCACAAAGCTTTCCGAAACTTTGAATCAATTTCTTTGCAAACTGATTCACTGTTTCGAATTCGAAACGCGCGAAACACACAGACTAGTGGCACCTGCTGGTCAAAACGGCGCAAATGCAAAGAAAACTCATTGCCACCTTTTAAAAATCAATTGCAAATGTTTTCATAAAAGTACGATCTATTAAATGTCTACGAAGAATTAAATATTAAAGTATTAAACATTACGTTTCTGTAAAATGTGTGTTCTTTTATTAACGAGTGGTGCCTTGTGTTACTTACTAGGGCAATTAGAATCAATCAAATATAATTCTTCCTTTTGTACATGCATTAAGTATTAAAATTCATTGAATGAATTAAAAATGAACCTAAATTATAAAACTAACCTGAGACCACTTAAAATCATTAAAGATTAGACATTCAGTCACAAGTTAAATGATGGTTGCCTCATTTATTAAAATCACATGACTTAGCAAGAGAAAACCAGCAAACTGATTCAGAAATAATCAGTGCTTCAAAGCACCCATCACTAACACACAGTAGTGACGTTCATGTGTGTTTGAACATATTGGTTGAATAAATGATTCAATGACCCATAAAGACACTATTTTGTTGCAAACTACTGCTGTATTCAGCACTCAGCCAATCAAATTTGAGGACCAGAACTAAATATCTTTGGCAAAACAGCACTGGATAAATGTTTCTTTCTGATATA